TGCTTGAAAGATAGACTTATAGAAAAGAAAATTGAACTCCACTACACAAAGGAAGCTGTTGATGTTATAGCAAACCTAGGATTTGTCACAAACTTCGGAGCCAGGTCAGTGAAAAGGGTGATACAACAGATGGTTGAGAAGGAAATCGCAATGTGGGTCGTCAGAGGCGATTTTAAGGACGAAGACTCGATTCTGATCGATGCTGACATGTCCGTGTTAGCCAATGACCTTCCTCCCAACAACAAATTGCTTGTGAAGAAATTGGATATTGGAATGATGGCGGGAAAACATGCAGAACCCTAATCTGATTTGGAAGCAAGCACTACATTTGATGTTTTTTTGTAAGCAAACTTGCCTTACTGGGCAAACCTTTATTTACACTACAGAGCAAGCAAATATATGTTTTCTGCATAAAGAATGGTACTGTAACTTGTGATGATCAACACAAAAGGTTGGCTTGTTTGTTTGTTTGTTTTTTTTTTTTTTTTAATACATTTCATAGCATATTAGTTAGAGCTTTTGACATTTAATCAACTTGAACAGATGAATAAATATTTCTTGTATGAAGTGACTTATTGCCATGTATTGTTGCAAGATTAATGTTGCCGTCCACATCCACGTATAACTCGACTTATTTGTCTCTGTAAATTAACTCGACTTATTTGTCTCTGTAAATTCAAAAAAAAAATAATAATAAATAAAAATTTATTATTATGCAACTGATTTGGTGCTCTCACAAGAGCTTAAATTTATTACTAAAATGTGTTGACATAGGAACTTATCAACACTTGTTTACATATTCTTATTGAAAAATGATTTTTACATCAATTTTTTTTATAGTGAATTGTCAAACTTATTTATTATAATAGGTCGTTTAGGTAATTTACTGCAATAAATCAGTACAAATATCACTACTCATTATTACTTGCTCTATTTATAATAAGAAATTGAATCTCATTATTATGATATACTTTAAAAAAAATCCTTAAAAACCCTATATAAATCGGTATATATCTATATATGTACGTATAATTTTATATACAATTTCCTAACTCCAAACGGGTTGGATGCCAGTTGACCCCACCTATTTATACCTGATTTACGGATTGTTATTATATCTGACCCGTTTATTATATAATCTGGTCTGCGCCCGCATAACTGATGCGTTTAACTTGTTCAGCTGCCAATGGTTTTACATAATTAACGACCTTTTGATAGCTCTTCTCCGAGTCCTTTTTTGGTAGCTCTTCTTCTGACAATGTATCACAAATCCTATATAACTCTTTTTTCTTCTTCTTCCCAAAACCCTATATATATATATATATATATATATATCACAAAACCCTATATAACTCCTCCTTCTCCCCAAAACCCCAACTAGATATATATAATTTTTACTTTTTCTACAATGGTGGTGTCCGGCCTCGAAGAGCACCCCATCATTCACCATCGGACACATGCGGTCTCCCCGTCCCACGTGTACCGGGCAACACCCTCCATGTATATGTATCCTTTTGAATACAAAAACCCCAGAGCACTCTGTTCTTCCTCGGCGTCCAACAAATTTTCTCATTCTGCCATTAATCCTGCCAAGACCACCTCAAATTCATCATACCCTCACCGTCAATTTCGTTTGTTCGCGTATAATTCATGTTGTTCGGATTCTGATTGTAAGCAATGAATTCTTTGTAATTGGTATTGTTATAGTATTGCTACTAGAAGTAATGAAGGTTTTTTTTCTTTTTTTAAATGGCGTTGTTTTCTCTGACAAGTTTGGAAGTAATTAAATATATATATATATTCAAAAATTAAGCTTACCATATATTTGTTGTTTAATTTTGTGCAATGTGTAGCCGATGATGATAGTGAGTTACTCAAATATGGTACTGACTTGACTAAGCTCGCTAAGAAAGGTGAGCTTGATCCTGTTATCGGTAGAGAGACTAAATTCAGCGTTGCCTGCAGATATTATGCAGGAGAATGAAAAATAGCCCTGTTCTTATTGGTAAGGCTGGGGTTGGGAAAACTGCAATTGCTGAAGGGTATGTATATTTCTCTCTCATTAATGTTTTTTTCCCCTTATCAGTAATTTTATCTGAGTAATACATTGCCTAGTGTAGTGGTAAAATGCTCTGTAAAACTTGAGAACTCAGGTTTCAATAGTCACTTTGTGGAAATCAATGTCAAAGGTCACGTACCCTACCCCTCCCAACACAAACGACTAACGAGGACCATACTGGGTAATGACCAGTTTTGAAAGAAAAAAAAATTTATTTTCATTTACCAAAACTTTAAGTAGTGCTTGTAATTTGTTGAAATCAATGTCGAAGGTTAGACAATTTATTTATTTATTTTCATTTTAGAGAATTTGGAGGCTTAATTTGCACTATAGGGACTCACTCACCTCTCTCAAATAAATAAATAAAATCACTCTTCATATGCATGCTTGGTGTTTTATCGCTTGATAGGTCAACTCTTTCTCTATTGAAAGGAAATTTGGACTCGTCTTCAACCTATTACCGGTCACCACTTCCGAATCTTGAGATTATGTATCATATAAATTGTAGGACTCTAGTGTGGGAAAAGGGTTAGCTAGAAGAATTAAGCACATTCTTAAGTAGAAAGAATGAAATACATGTTCACATGTACATAAAATATGATCAACTTGAAATTTGACATGAGCATTGGACAGAAACTGTAGTCTCTCTCTTTCACTAGACTAAATTGGAGTCCCATTAGTGTGCAAGAACATAAGCAGTAATAGAAATAAACCGGAACAGTATAATGTGAGATATTTGTTATGCCTTTTCAGAGTGTATTTTTCCTTTCCATTTTCTTTTATTTCAGCCATTATTGGTCAGGGATTTGCTCAAATGGTCACTTTTTAGGTCAGTTATTGAGCATGCTGTTGATATTTTTTGGGAATTCCAGCAAGTATTTTGTTCAATAGCTTTCCTACTATTATTACGATTTTTTATTTTGATACAAACTTTTGAGTTACTTTGCAGGATAGCTCAGCGAATTGTGAGTGGGGATGTTCCAGAACCTCTGTTGAATAAAAAGGTGGTTGTTTTTGTATACTTATTCCAATTTTCTTTTTACTTGATAGCTTTTTACTTATTTTATTCAGGTGTTAAAAGACATCTTATGTGACATGATTACTTGTTGATATATATTTTAGTGTCTATTTTTCTTGTAGTGGCTCAATTTTGTTTTTCTTGAATGACACCATCTAATAAAAGCTTTTCTTTTTCAATTTATTGCTCCTATTGATCTTTGAGTAGATTTCTCAAGTGATCGTTTCATGACATCGGTGATCGAACAAATATAGGAACTTTATGATACTTCCTCAAGATATTTTAAGATCAAGCAAAAGGTTTAAATTTGACAAAATTTTAATACGCTAAGAAAACTGAAGGAATCACAAAGTATCAAAACTTTAATAAAATGTAGGTTTTTTGCATATTACTCTAAACCAGTTTCTTTAAAGGTAGAGATACATACATATATATATTTATAAATTTAGGATGAACAAATGTTTCAATTGGCAAATATTGATTGTAGCTAAAAAATTTCAACTACGAATACTAAAGCTATGAGAAGCATTTTTATAATATTTAGTCAGAATTTTAAACTATTTTTGGCATCGTTGTAAATAATTGTTTGCATTTTGGCTTTTACTTTGCAGGTGATCTCAATGAATGTATTTTCACTAGTGGCTGGATGTAGTTATGTTGGAATGATTCAACAAAGAATGAAAGCTATTCTGGAGGAAGTTTCTGATGCAAAAGGGGAGATACTTTTATTCATTGATGAGATCCACACTCTGGTTGGTACAGGTGCGTCTTCTACTTAGAATCATCCAATATAAGTTAAAATTAGAAGGCCATTATCTAGTGTTGTCCCCTTTAATCAAGATTGCTAGAAGGGATGCACTAAGTAGAAACCGACACGCTATTTGCACAAATGGATTTCCTCATGCTTGGCAGCCTAAGATTCTTTCACTGCATCAATCAATGACTCCCAACATAGAAACTCTAGTGCAATAGCGAAAATTTTCAACTCTTTTTTCCTTAGTTAATGTTTTTCCTGTAACGACCTGAACCCGAGGGTCCGAATCGCTAACCGGGTCCTTACCCGAACCAGAGGTCAACTAAAGACGCTACCGTCCTTTCCTATGTCAATACATAATATACGTGTCATCCCATGGTTTATAAATAATAATAATAAAATGAGATCATAACTACAAAATATGTCAAAACAGTCCACTAACCCATCAAAACCTGTGGAGGAGCGTCGTTCGCCACTTCCTTTCCATATCCTGAAAAATTTTAATTATAAAGGGATGAGCATAAAGCTCAGTAGGGAACGCCTAAGACACACCTCTTATGACCTCGTGAATCCATACAATGAATAGGATACTGGAGAACGGAATCATATCTCGGAAAAAACAAGTAAAGCAACGATAATATTAACAATTACATGTGCAAGTCGCCCAATCATCAAGTGTGCAATGTATGTCAATGAAATGCAATGTCATGCAATGTCGCTCCCCATTTCCGAAACAATATCGTTTCATCTTTCCAAACCGTTAGTGCAATCCGACCAAAGGCACCTCCAGGGCGTCACGAGAGGAGGATTGGCTAACCATCCACGACCACAAGGCACCTCTAAGGCGTCGTATCCGGCCTAGTTAGCTCAACCACGCTAGGGTCTCTCCCTAGTTCCCTCTAGACCACACTAACACCACGGACCACTAGGCACCTCCTAAGCGTCCGGATTTTCGCAAACCTGTAATGACTTAAAACTAATACTTTTTAAACAAAAAAAATTCGGCATGACCTCTCCTAAAAATAGGCCTATCACAACCTGTTTAATTGCATTTTTAAACTGTCATGGCTCAAATTCCGAATTCACGGCAACAAAAGATAATGATACAACCAACTAATCTAGACAATGCTTCAAACTAGGATTATCCATCCATTCATCAACAAGTTGCATACTATCAAATCCCCATCCAAAACATCATCAATACTTTAGTTATATTACATGACAAAGTTCCACAAAATAATTATACATCTTTGTACTTCTAGTGTTTTACAAAATAATGGGGAATATACAAAGATACAAAAGTGAACTTCTAACGCCGTTCAAGCTTGAGTTGGGTTGTCATCCACCAGTTCCTTTCCAAGACCTGAAAAAAAATATATAGATATAGGGGTGAGCATATAGCTCAGCAGGTGACACTTAAGACACAATTCTCGTGTCCTAGTGAATCCAAATAAAGCATAGGCCAATGGGAGATTGGGGACATGCATTGAAGGGGAAAAATAATTACAAGTACAAGTCAAATTCAATCACTCACAAATGCAAATGGAGTGAGATGCAATGCATGTTAATGTCACTCCCCGTTTTCATTCTCAAAACCATCACGTTCAAAGTTAATGTAACCCCCTTTGGTAACCCCGCCGCGACGAGAGGAGGATTGGCTACCGTCCCTAGGCCCTTGGTGACCCCGTGGCGCCGTCGAGGGGCCCGAATAGCTCAACCACGCTAGGGTATTCTCCCTAGTCCTCCCTAGGCTACATTAACCTCCGGCCCGTTGGTAACCCCGCAGCGACCGGGTTTGTCAAAACCAATTTTTTTCCAAAACATTCATTCCCAAATCCCCATTTTCATTTCAAGACAACCACTTCCCTTTTTCATGCAACCCAATGAGATGTAGGCTCATGTCATGATCTCAATATAATGGCAAATGGGAACTTAGCGCAATAATAAATAAGCATGTTCTCATGGCATCATTATAGCATGTTAGTAACCTCAAAAAAAAATGTAAACAACCATCACATAGACATACTTTTCATTCAACCATGTTATACACATTTACATAACTAGCATGTTGTCAATTAAATCATTTTAATCAAAATCAACAACAATTAAACATGCTATAACACACATAGAGGAGCATGATTCATTATAGAGCAAGATTCCATGGCTTAAGATGTCCCTACCTCACAATCCAAGCCGAAATCCCTAGAATAGGTCCTCCAAATTCGAGCTCCAAGGAAGACTCAAATTTGGAAATTGATAGTATGGATGCGTAGAGCTCGCTACAAGCTTCGTTTCGCCTCAAACGGCACCTCAATCCGACAAAAGATGAAGGAGCAATCAACAATGGAAGTTGAAGTGAAAAGAAAAGAAAAAAAGAAAAAAGGCGAAGCCGAGAGCAGTCGGGAGAGAGAGAGAGCAGCAGAGACCAATTTTGGTCTCACAAATCACTTAAAAAGTGATGTGGGTCCCACTTTATTTTATATTTCTTTTCTCTTTTTCTTTTTCATTTAAATCACACACCACACACACACAATTATGTACACAGACTTCACAAAACCCTTTTCAAAATCATTTCCCAAAAACAAGTTTCCATTTTCTTTCAAATCATTATACCCATTTCTTGCCCAATGCCATACACGAATGCTTCATGCCTTTCAATGCCAACACAATTTACAATGTCCATACATACAACACCAAATACATTTGCATGCTTTGAGGTAATTAATACAATAATTCCACATACAACAATTTATCATTTATGGCAATTTGGACATATAAGGCATGCTTTGGAAGAAAATTTACACATTTAAATTCCAAGTAGTCAACCTCACATTCATAGCACATAAACACTTTAAGCACAAGACACTTTAAATCTAGCATGCTCTTTCACATAATCTAAATAGATATATATGAATTCAATTTTCACATAATATACAATTATCACATAATATACAATTATCACACTAAATACACAAAACCCTCATAACCATAAACAAATTTATTCAATTTAGGCATGCTAAGACCAAATCTAGAGAAATTAATTCACTAAAATTAAAGAATGTGCATATTAGAAACCCCTACCTCAAAGGATACAAAAAACCCCAATTCCAAGCCCTAATTTTGAAAATCCCAAGGACACCAAATCATGAATCGGCTCCGATCAAAACGAAGAGCTCGACGAGCTCTCTAACTTTGTCTCAAACAGCACTATCAAATTCTCAAAGGCTAGATCAAAACCGAGGCTTGAATTGTTGTAGCAAAGAAAAGAAAAAAAGAAAAAGAAAAATGGAGAGAGAATCTGCCGAGAAAGAAGAAAAAAAATGAGGGCCTGTGATGGCCCTAAGGCCATTTAAAATGATTAAATGGGGGGTGGGCCCCACAAAATTTAAAATATCTTCCTTTTCTTTTTGCTCTTTTTCTTTTCTTTCTTTTTCTTTCTGCTCTCTCTCGGCTGGCAGCCACCTGCTTTCTTCTTTATCTAATTTACAATATATACATACATATATATATATATATATATATATATATACAACAACAAAAATCAAAAGCCACCAAAATTAAACTCATTTAAACATCACTAGTGGGACCCGTGAATTCAACACCATCTCACCATTACAGTCTTTCTTTCTCCTCCCAGTTTCGGCTGCCACCACTCACCATCAGATGCTACAATATATATATATATATATACAAATGTAACAAAAATAAAACTAACCCATTAAATAATTCAAGTGGGTAAACCTCCAATTTAAATTAAATACTCAATCTTGACTAAAAATCATGAAATATAATTTAAAATCCTAAAAATTCGGGTTGTCACAACCTCCGTGCACAACAACTCCGGTAGTGGGTCCCACCTGGGACCTTCCGGCCCGAAAAACAGAAAAATGCCAAAATGACAATCAATGCATTTCTAGGAGTTTTGAACTCAAGGAAATGTCTCAATCCACACTCTGACACACCCGATACACCCCACGGTGTTCGGCACGCAAAACAGAAAAGACAAAAATATTCTCGAAAAATCTGAAAATTCCAAAAAATGGAAAATGATTAAAAATCAGAAACATTACATTTCCATCTTAATTTTTTCAGAACCATAATACTGGTGTGAATATTCTTCATAGGTTTAACAAGCTTGTGAATGTTACATGTTTCAATTTAGAAACTTGATAGTTTGATCTAAGTGATGCATTTGTAGGCTGTAGTAATCTTATAGTGTCTAAATCATGTTTTTCTTGTGAACAAACATAATTATATAAGAAAAAGGAGACTATATATCTTGTTAGCTCAGGACCTTACCAGGAGTACTTTCTTATGACAAACCCTTCTTTCGTTTGATTGCTGGTCTTGTTTATGGGATTGAGAAAAATAAATGTCTTTATTGGGCTACTCTTAAAGCGTCTTGTTTGTTATATTATGTGGTATTTCCTTTCCCTTTAGATGGATCCATATATATATCAAATGAACAGCTTGAAAACTTGTTGATTCTAACAACTGATTTCCAGATCATATGAATTCAATTCATAGATGTAGGTGTTCAACTTATAATTGGGCATGTCCTAAACTCAAAATAAAGAAGGAAAAGTGTTATGATGAAAAGAGATGCAACTTGGACAAGAAGTAAAGAGAATAATTTGTAGACAAGAAATGAAATGGAAATCTGTTTTTCGGTAACCTCATATCCATCAAGCAAAACCAATGGTTTTTTTTTTTTTTTTTTTTTTTTCATATTAGCAAGAAACTCACACACCCGTTTTTGCCCCTTAGGGGACTCGAACCCTCTCCTTTCATACTAAGAGAAGAGGAGATACCACTAGGCTACAGCCTTTGGTGGTAAAATATTTTCTTTATTAAAGTTCCAATGTGTGGAGAAATTAATTGCATCAAGTTTAGACAATTAAGACTGACAAATTAACTCTCTGGCAGTTTGATGGACGGATAAGAAGGACACTACCCATTGTTGGTTTTGTCTCTGAGAGGAGCTGGGAGGAAAGACAGGACATAGACCTAACTTTTGCTATTATTTTGCTCAAAGTGGCTTTTTATATACTCAAACCTGTATTATCACGCATTTCAGTCTGAACTTTCACTATTTCACCGAGTAATCACCATGTATTTTATGTATTGATAGTAAGTTTGTCATATCTTGTGTGAATATGCTCACCTTGGTGTCACTTATTTATTTATTTATTTTAAATTATGGTCTAATTCAAATATTTGTTGAATTGTTGGTAATTTAGTCCTAACTGCTTTGTAGGGGCTAGTAGTAAAAGCAGCATGGATGTTGCGAACATTTTGAAGCCGGTGCTTGCCCGAGGTAAGCTTCAATGCATAGGAGCAACCACCTTGGAAGAGTATAGAAAGTATATAGAAAAGGACCCTGCTCTTGAGCGTAGATTCCAGCAAGTGTTCTGTGATCAGCCATCTGTACAAGACACAATCTCCATTCTTCAGGGATTGCGCAAGCGCTATGAGGTGCATCATGGTGTTAAAATATCAGACAAAGCCATAGATTCAGCTGCAGTACTTGCTGATCGGTACATTACGGACCGTTTTTTTGCCTGATAAAGGTAGCTGACGGTTTAATAATTTCATTTTTGTTTATTTGGCATTAGGAAACTAAAAGAATCATAGTAAACTAACATCTAGTAATTATTTCTTGTTCTTTTTCCTATTTAACATTCTTTTGCAATTACCAACGGAATTAGCCCAGATGGTATGATCTCTCCTCCTCAAATGGGAGGTTGAGTGTTTGAGTTATGCCAGGGGCAATATTGTTTGCGCGGGGGGTGTTGCTTGAACTTTTGGGCAAAAATAAAAATCTTTTGCAGTTATGTGATGCAACTTCAAGAAGCTTAGTTGTTACTTATGGGATGAAAAACTCCCTTATATAAATCATAGTAACACTAACTATAATAATTTGGACACTTAACCCATTCTGCTAAATCTTTTTTCTCTGTTTTTTCAGCCATTGATCTTGTTGATGAAGCTGCCGCAAAGCTGAAAATGGAGACCGCTACAAAGCCTATAGAGTTGGATGCGATAGATGAAGCTTTGTTGAATTTAGAGATGGACAGACCAGCTTCGGAAGATGACAATAATAAAGCTTCCAAAGAAAAATTAGTCAAGTTTGAAAATGGTGTAAGCCTGCTTAGAAAGAGATGGGAAGAACAAAAGAAAAAATGGTTGCGTGAGGAGGCTCTTGTGACTAAAATTCGTTCAACTAAACAGGAGGTAATTTGTCCTTTGGTGTAGAATCTCCAAAGCTAATTAAACTCACATTTCTTTTCTTCCAGTCTCTGACATATTTTTATAAATCATTTGATAGATTGCTAGGGTTAACAAAGAGGAAAAAACCCAGAAGGGTGTTGTTACGTCTCTTCAGAAGCAGCTGGAAGAGGCCGAGAAGAACCTTGAGAGCTTACAAAAGTCCAGAAGCAGTTTGGTCTCCAAAGAATTATCTGACCATAATATTCAAGCGGTTATAGCTGAATGGACTGGTATACCATTATCAAACATTTCAAAGTCAGACATGGAGAAGTTAGTCATAATAGAGGAGGTTCTCCATCAAAGGGTTATTGGTCAAGAAGTTGCTGTTAAATCAGTTGCTGATGCTACTTGACGTTCGAGGGCTGGAGTGTCTGACCCGAATAGGCCAATAGCAAGCTTCATGTTCATGGGCCCTACTGGTGTTGGTAAGACTGAGCTGGCGAATGCATTAGCTGGTTATCTCTTTATCATGGAAAAAGCTCTTGTGAGAATTGACATGAGTGAGTACATGGAAAGGGGTTCAGTTTCCCGCTTGATTGGTGCATCTCCTGGACTTGTAGGTCCTAAAGAGGGACAGCTTACGGAAGCAGTTCTTCGAAGACCTTATTCTGTTATTCTATTTGATGAGATTGAGAAAGCACATCCTTATGTGCTCAATATCTTGTTACAGCTTTTGGGCGATGATAGGGTAACTGATTCAAGTGGTAGGACCGTCAACTTTACAAATTGTATGGTGATAATGACATCGAATATTGGGTCCCATGATATCCTACAAATTTTTTAAAATAGCAAGGACGACAGCAAGGAATCAATATATGATACAATGAAAAGGCAGACTATGGAGTTGGCTAGAAATTATTTTAGCCCAGAGTTCATGAATCGTGTTGACGAGTTTATTGTTTTCCAGCCTCTGAACTCGGACAAAATTTGTAGAATTGCTGATATACAGGTAACTACTCTTCTCTAGTATTTATCATTTTAGTCCATTTTGTGTTAAATGTTTCTCTAATTAGGCATTAATCTCCTTGAGTTAGAGTGGAGCCTTTTAAGGTATAACTGAAAGAACTCCACTCGGTATAACTGAAAGAACTCCACTCCAAGGGGTCCTTATTGTGAGATAATAAGATCCTTGAGGCGTTGTGTCGAAGTGTTCACAGTGTTACCTTTGATACTATATGGTTATAATATTCCACCCGATTTGATATATCTTTTTCCTTTTTCGATGCATAAGGAGAGTTGAGACTCAAAAGTATAGATTGAGATACCAATATCACTGGGGCCTACTAGGCCTGCGATACCTGTATTGCAGTATTGGTATATTGCATTGTAATTGTTTCTTCAATGATGAATCTACTTTCCCACCACCAAAACTCTAGCTCAAGTGGTTTGTCTTCATATTCCCCTATGGGAGGATGATCGTTCAAGTCCCCTATGGCTGCGTGTGCCTTACTTACCCAAAAGAAAAAAACTTAATAAGGAATCTGCTTTCTTTTTTGGGTCCGTGAAATCTACTGTCTTAGGTTTGGTTAAAGCAGCACTGAACTGATTATATTTTTGCATATGGCTTGGTTATCAGAGGATGTTCTCAAACCAATTAATAATTCTGAGCAGCTCACCACTACATGGTCAAAATCCGTTAAAGTCCAATAGATCAATGTTTAGAGTTTATGGTGTTGGTCAGATGCACCGAAAGAAACAAAAGAACTTAATATTTTCAGCTTTTAATATTTTTTTATATATATATTTTTTCAATTTATTATAAAATTCATACCATTAGATTATAGTATGCTCATACTATAATTCAAGTTGACCAAGTTTTAATTGAGCAGCTTCATACTACTATGTGGTTTTGGTAGAGATGCCCCTAACTTGAACAACAGAAGGAAGTTTGAGCTTCTAATCTCTTCAAATTGTTTTCCCACTTGTACCTATAATAATCCCTTAGTTTTTTTTGTTTTTTGTTTTTTTTTTTTTATTTAGGAAAAAAAATAATAATGCCTTAGTTTTACTTTTACTTTTAGTTTTGTCCCTTAGTTCCTTCCCTTGTGTGCTTGTAAACCGAAAGCTCACTGGTAAGATTTCTGATGGAACTTTATACTTCCTTAATTGAACTTTTGTTTTATATTTGATTTTGTATTTTAATTATTTAAAGCAACTAGGGTCACTAACAATAATGCTAATTATGTGTTTCAGATGACCCACTTGAAAGATAGACTCAAAGAAAAGAAAATTGAACTTCAGTATACAA